CAAAAGTGTTTTTTTTCTTTCTTTTTACTTTTCAGTGTAGGATTTGCATAATTGTTCCTTTGATGCTCACACAATGACACAGCTAATTATACAGTAAATTAGTTTTCTGCACTATAAATTTTAGATAAGGTTAGTGGGTTCCATACCACTCTCCACACATAAAATGATTCTAATTTTCGTACAGGTTTAGAAGTCTACTTTTCGATTATAAAGTGACTGTTTCGTGTAGCAGTGAACCAAAGCATCTCTCACAGCCTTAAAATCCAATATCTCTGAGAAATACCCAAGGTTTCTGTATCATGAAAAAACAATGAAGTTTGCTCAAGGCCTGCTCTTGGGAGAGAAAATTATGTGTAAAATAATGCAGGATTCATTACTCAACATTGAGCTCTGAAAATGAGATAAACCAATGTCAATACCACACTATGAAATGATGAGCAGTGATTGCAGAATCACTGCTCATCATTTCATACCGTGGTGTTGTAAATACACATTTAAATAATACCTATCGACCTTAAAAAATAATATTTACTAAAAATATATAAATGCTTACACGTAATATATTAAGGAACACTGTCCATATTGATAAATCCTAAATAATCTTTAAATTTAAATCATCTTTAAACCATTAATAATCTTTACATTTTTATTGAAATGAGGCGAACAATTCAAACAACACAATTCATCAACTACCATGATGCGGACATGTTTGTTACATACTTTGGGAACCTTATTTATTAAACTTCTGTACTATTCTTCATTATTCTTAATGCTATTACTGGGTTTTTTAGTCTAAGAGCAGTTCTTCCAGCATGTTTGCTGTACAGTTTTCTGTTTTTACTGTACCATTAAAAAAAGTGACACATAAAAGCAAATGAGTTTATTATTTTACTTTGTGATACCTATTTTTCAGAGCATAAGTCAATGGAAATTGTATGGATATAATAAAGTATATTAAGTTAATATTTGTGAAAAGATCAAGAAAAGAAAAGACCCAACAAAAATCTCATTAATGCCTCTGTAGTTCACTCGCATTTCATATTACAGGTTTATTTTATTACCCTTCATGATGCGTCATGATTTCAATGATTTCAATAATACATGCTTTAGAAAGGTTTCTGTGATCGCCCTCCAGTGGCCGAACTGGAGATTGATCTGACGTCAAACGGTAAAGTTATTTTCAAACAGTTTTGTACAGACGTAAATAGTGATATAGAACGAATTATTTGATACTGTATTAACTACTGTATACAAATTAAGGTATTTTAATGTTTCTGTGTAGATATCTAAAAGAAAATGTTTAATGCAAATTATTCAGTACATATCGAAAAGATTATTTAAATTTGTATTAGTTAAAAAAGAATTAAATTGGTTGTTAATTCCCGATAGTTTTGCTGAAACCACATCCTTGGAAACCTGTTGCTATATATATATATCACAAACTTTGTAAGAATCCAAAAATATATTCCTTTCCCTCTAAACTTATGTATTTGTATTCTCAGTGAGATACAGATACTACAAATATAAAGTCCAAGAAAATACATATTGCTACAGTTAGGTAATACAATGTAGTTGATTTATATATACTGCATTTGTCATAACTTCCAAATGAACAGTTAGATATTACGTAAAATAAGCTTTCTTCTCAATTCTCAAGTTCAATAACAAATCTTACTGACATACTTAACATGTTTTTGCACAAATATTTTAATGTAGGTTATTAAATTAAATACAATATGAAATCATGATTAGGGTACTAACAATCATGCACAGGATACCATTTACATTATGATACTAACCTACATGACATTGCAGTGAAATCGAAATAAAATATTATGAGTTATATTTGAGGTTTGAAAATCAGACTCATTTCTGTCAGTATTTCTTATTTGAAAACAATAGCAGGTAGACAGCATATTTAAAAGACAAGTAAAGGTTTATTTCATGCTGAAATGGGAACAAAAACACAAGATTTCAGCTGTGGAGCCTTCTTCGGGTGTGAACATTCTTTTGCAGCCTACACATGCCGACATAGCTACCTACTTGAACATATTTAAATTACCATCTTTATAGCATTATTGTTCTAACTGTGCCTGTGATAAATCACACTCATTGATGAAAATATTAAATATAAAATGTATTTTTTTAAATTGCTTCTAAGCAGGAGCCTGGTTATATACTAAGGCCAATCGCTTAAAATAAATGACAGTGATTAATGGGTTCTTGAAAAATTAACTAATGTTTTGGGTACACAACAATAGCATGGTTGCTTGACTTAGAAGTAGAATGTATTAGAATATACACATGTAATTAGCATAACAACACTTCCATTGGTGTGTAACTTCCAAGCGTCTCCATGAAAGCCTAGAAACTAGTTCATTACAATTAGCTTTTTGTATGGTATTAGTGAAACCAGAGGGTTCTTCCTGTTTATCTTCCCCAGCCTCCAGGCTGGATTTGGAGGCTGGAGACATCCATATTAGATTGTTATTTCATACAATCCTAGATTGTATGATTGTTTAACATTGCTTTTTTGGAGGAGACAACTCTCATCTTCTTTCTGTGCCTAACGTTTTTATTTAATTAGCCTGTGGATCAATTAATATGAACGGTCTGAGAAATACAGTACAATGTCAGCCCTCTCCACATGGAGTTGCTGTAGCCCAGACATCTACTGGAGCTGGCTAACTGAATAGAGCTCACCCACGTCAGTGCTGCTTGTATAGCTTTGTGATATAGAAGTGTAGAGAGTGTGTGAGAGACTAAGATCTTACCCAAGCTATACTGTATGTGGTGTTAGGTGAATATCCTGTGGGCCTACTAATCTGTAGTAAGTCAGACTTCTAGATAAGCTTCCTTAAATGTCTATTCTTTAAGGTGTACCATTATTACCTACATGGATCTATGCTCAATAGGCATTTAGTCTCTGACCAATAAAACTATAACTATATATTGTTACTTTTTTCTATTTCTGTGTTATGTATTCTGTATAATACTTGAAAATTATTTCGCCCAGTTCCTCATTTGCCACCACTCAGTAGGTTAGTAAATGTTATTTAGCAATATTATAGGCATATTACTGCTTTCACATTGTAAGATTGTTGCTCTGTTTTTGTTTTACATTTTTGTAACTAATTTAACTTGAAATTACTTGAAGGGATTGAAGGGATATTCTTCTATTATATCATATATGTTTAGGATATTGTATACACTATATATGCAATACAGTATATATGAACAAGTAATAGGGTTATTCTATGCTGAAAAGAGAAGAAAGAAAACACAATGTTACTCACACCTGAAGAAGGCTCCATGGCCGAAACGTTGTGTTTTCTTTCTTCTCATTAATTTATTTAAATGACTGTGCTGACTATAATTTTAAATAGATAGCAAATTTAATTCATTTTCAATGGTTATAATGCTTTACCAAGATAAAGTATTTTACAAAACAAGCATTCATCTGGTATGAAAAATATTGCCATATCTGTCCAAAAATAATATTTGGATTTTTTTTAAATAACTGGTACAGTTAGGGGATTTTAAAAATATGTTTTAAGTACTCTTAAGTTATATTTTGTATTTCCAAATCTACATTTTGCCAGATTGTCTTTTAATATTGCTTTCAGAAAAGTTGCTTTGGAGCAGTAACTTGTAAGAACTACCCTTTATTGCTCTTTGTTAATCTTGAAACTGATGGAATAACAACGCTCGGACGTGATCTACTAAAAGCTAAGAGACAGACGGGCCGAATGGTGTCCTTTCATTGCTAACGTTTCTTACAGTATGTTCTTAACGAAGGTGAATATCAATCTTTTGGAATGTGAAAATATTTACTATATACAGTGATGTGAAAAAGTGTTTGTCCCCTTCCTGATTTCTTATTTTTTTGCATGTTTGTCACACTGATACGTTTCAGATTATAAAACAAATTGAAATATTAGACAAAGATAACACAAGTAAACACAAAATGCAGTTTTTAAATGAAGGTTTTTATTATTGAGGATATAAAAAATCCAAACCTACATGGCCCTGTGTGAAAAAGTGATTGCCCCCCCGTTAAAACATAAATCAACTGTGGTTTATCACATCTATGGAAAGCTGAGTTCAATTTCTCTAGCCACACCCAGGCCTGATTACTGCCACACCTGTTCCCAACCAAGAAATCACTTAAATAGGACCTGCCTGACAAAGTGAAGTAGACCAAAAGATCCTCAAAAGCTAGACATCAAGCTGTGATCCAAAGAAATTCAGGAACAAATGAGAAACAGAGTAATTAAGATGTATCAGTCTGGAAAAGGTTATAAAGCCATTTCTAAAGCTTTGGGACTCCAGCGAACCACAGTGAGAGCCATTATCCACAAATGGTGAAAACATGGAACAGTGGTAAACCTTCCCAGTGTAGATACATTGTATAAGTATATTATGTATTTTACATGTATATTTCCCCACACTGTGAAAATAAGAAATGCAACATAAATGTACAGTAGATGAAACACATGTAATGCATGTAAGACAGCCTTTTAACTGAAGACATTGAGCGCTGAAAGTCCGTCTGACATCCATTGTTGTGTTACTTCACTAATTCCAGTGCTGTTTCTTTCTTCTCATACTTGTAGCAGTAAGAAACAGGTCTTTGACTTGTGCCTTTCACTTTCCATTCATCCCGTGGTTGAAAAAACAAATATTTATTTAGATTCCTGTATGACAAGATAGGTGTATGTCTGTTAAAGAAATGTAGATGTTACCGATTACTCCTGGCTCGTTGGAAGGCAATGGGTGGCTGCAATTAAAACGTTATCCTTATGTTTTTGTAATTCATATTTTGAAAACAATATTTATCTTATTTTAAAAATAACACTCCCTAATAAAAGGCACAGGTTTTATGTTAATTCTATGTACACATATGGTGGTTTGAGACCCCCTGTGCTTGGAGGATGTAGTAACACGAAATTCGGCCCCTTTAAGGATGTAGTCGCTGACATTGACGAAATTTCCTGGTCTGGTCCTTGTGTGCTTCACTGAAAATCAACAAGAGAAACTGAGACGGGTTTTTCACGGAGGGGATTGTCATTAATACAAAAGAACCAAGGCAAGGAACTGTTCAAACATCATTTTTGGATACCTAATGGGGAGATTGCATTTGTAAGGTCAAATGTTTATTTTTTTGTCCCGATAAATCTTCGTTTTCGGGATATTTATTTTAAAGCGCTCAGCAGGTGCAAGGGAGATAAACCTCTGAATCCGAAGCAATCTCAGTGTTAATGAAACTTTGCTCCGATTTCCGTGCTGGGTAAGAAAGTTTTTTTCTTTTATGCAATTAAATCAAAAGAATTGAGCAACAGGTTTGACAAGGTTTGATTTTTAAAGGAGTGTCTGCGTTGTTCGGTCACGACATGTTACAATTTATTGGTCGGATTGGGTGAAATCGTGGCGTAACACGATGCCACAGATTGTGGCGTCTCAGTGTTGTTCAGTAAACAACAAAGCAAAAGAATAATGATACATCTAACGTTGCGCTTAGTGCAGTCTGTTTTGATATGACGATGATTGCTATTTCCGTAAAATAATTATTTTAAATATATGTCTTATTATGTACGCGCGTTTGAATGCAGTGTCAGAGCCAACACCTTCGGTTGCTTTCCTTTGTTACTTTGTCGCATTTCTAACCACACTAGACGTGTTCTAGCTCAAGGATGTATTTCATTAATGATATACACTGTGTCAATTTTGAGGATTGGTAATCGTTGTCTTATTAAGAAGCATAACAGGAGCCCTAAAAAAAGTACTTGCTGTTTCCTGCTTCTTACTGTTACTATGGTGTGGAGGGCACATATTGATTCATTGCTTGAAACTAGTGAAAATGTATTCTATCTAGGGCCGGGGACAGCGGATGATAACAAATATTTCCTCTTAAAATATTTATAACGTATTTTAGTTGTTAGGAGACATTTCTTAACAAGTACAATTCAATCACCGACTTATGTGAAATGTAATATATATGATCTTTATAAATATTTAAGTTTAGGATGATGGCTTTGAACGTCCAAGACCTATTAACAGTTGTTATGTACCAAATGTGAAATTAATGCACAATTCACAGGGTTAGTCATGTTGAATGTCACAAGCATACATTACTTATAAAACGAGAATATATTTTCCCTCTTATTAATATTAGGCATAAAGATCCCCCCCACCCAGTAGACCCAGAAGGTAGTAACAAAAGATAATACACTTGGATTTAAACTATTTGTCATGTAATTCGGGAACTGTTATTTATCCGGTGAATATCTGAACAAATTGTAAAAATAAGTTATCAAATTAAGGAGTTTGGCTTGGAATAAAAATGTTTATGTGGATATATGAAGATATAGGAAAATAAACTACACTGACTTTTTTAACTTCAAATACTAACCCTTTTGTTCCTGACACAGTCTGGCTTTTAAAAAACCTAAACACATGTTCGATTGAAAAGTGTAGAACAATGAGGCCCATAGTGTTAGGGACACCAAACTGTTGTATCCAAAAATAGCAAATAAGGTCAGAGTGTGATGTCTTACTTTAGGCTAAATAAAGGTTGTTAATCATTGTGGTTTGACGTATGCTCTACTAATCTAAGTGGTGTGCTGTCAGGTTTGTTATCAATTAAAGCATAAACTACAATGTAATTTTTTATTGTAACCGTGTAGCATTGTTTGCTTCATTACCTACTACTTTATAAAAATATCACGTTTTTAAGATGTCAGAGTAAGGAGTTGTACTGTTGTCTTGGTCCTGGTAATGTTGAGATAAATATTTCCCCCTTCCATTGTCAGAAAGCAGCTTATTTCTGCCAAAGATTTAAGAGGAGGAAAGGCGGGACTTTACTCTGGGTAGGTGCCAGTCCAACACAGAGTAGCAGCAATGCTAATAAGTTAAATATTAATAAATCTATATTTCTACATAGACTGACATCCTGTCCAGTGTGTATCCTGCCTCATGCTGGATAAGTCTCACTATGGCTCACTGTGCCACTATATTGGACTAACCAGTTATTGAAATTGGATCAGTAGTTATTATTATATACAGTATGAGGGCAAAAAAAATAATTTTGCTCTCAGAAGTCAGTCATGCTCATGTGTGGTACTGAATCAGCAAGTGTGAATGTTTTTGTTTTACTACTTAGTACCTAACTTCCCCAAGTGTGGTGCTAGCAGTCATGCTGTAAAAGTGGCTGTTCCAGAACAAGAGGGCATTGTCATAGAGGAAGGATCATGGTTGTGAGGAAACATAGTTTTAGTTTGCTGAAGGTGTAAAACTGTGTGGTGTTCACAGGAGAGTTATGGCATAAATTGATATGAGCGAAATAATTTAAAATGAGTCAAGTGAACGGTTTAGGAAAGGACAGGTTTATCTTTTTTGTGTGATGAATAACAGTCTGAGTGACCAGTGTTTGATACCCCAGAGGACACTATGGCTGGGATTGATATGGTCTATATCAATAAATAGACTTGCTGCATTGTAGGTGGATCTCATGGTATAGTACTGTACATGGTGGAATAATTATAACTTTGTGTTTGTGCAAAAATGCCTACCAGGTAGGTGCAAAAATGCCCATTGATCAACACAAGTAGAGACAATTGTGAATATGCCAGTCTTCCCTAGAGGTATGAAACACAGGTGTTGTTCTGAAATATCACTGTGTTTTAAGATGCAATTAGACATTAGTTAATTGCTATGGCGGTGCCTTTAGGAGAGGAGACTTGCTTCTTTTTTTTTTAGTTGTTTTTTGCGTGCTGCTATCTGAGTAATAATCACTTTAGTAATATGATGTTTAGTGATGCTTCGAGTGGTGTGTATTTAGGAGCTTGGTTTTGTACTGTTACCTCACCCAATTTACTGTCAGGTTCTCACACTGTTGGAGTTTCATCTTCTTTAGCCCAATGAAGGAAGCTGTCTGAGGGTGGAACCACACTGATGACAAAGTTTCATGTAACAGTGCAGAAATGGTTCAGAAACCAACCAAATTCATTTTAACATAAGGGCATCCATAACTTAGTGTAGCTGTCTTGGAAGGGTGTGGATGTTCAAGGGGATCAATGAAATCTTTTCTACAAACAAAGTATATTTGATGTTTAACTGACTTACCCAACCATGCATCCGTTTTCTAACCACTTTATCCAGTACAGCTTCAGGGGGGAACCAGAACCTATCCCTGCAAGCAACAGGCACAAGGCTGGATACAACCTGGACAGGATACCAGTCTGTCGCAGGGCAGACAGACACAGACAAACATGCACACACTCACTCCAGGACCAATTTAACCAGAAGCCAATTAACCTGCAGTAAGTCTTGGACGGTGGGAAGAAACCAGAGTACCTGGTGAAAACGCACGTGAACATGGGGAGAAGAGGCAAACTTCACACATATAGCAACCAAGGTCTAGAACTGGACCCAGGGCCCCAGTCCTGCAAAGCAGCAAGACTAACCACTGTGCCACTGTGCTGCTCCATTGTCTCATCATTGCATATAAATTATAATGTACACACTGCGGAATATTGGTACCAAGTACTAGGAATGTAACACTGATTGCCAGACCACAAATGTGCTATCATATTTCCAAATGGCCTGGATAGCCTGGCATTGTGCTAACTGGGCATTATGATTATCCTTGGAATTGTACCAGATGGCATGCACGCTTTAAAACATTCTTTAATGCAAAGTAAGTAAACACCACTTCAAGTAAAGCAGGGGGAAATAAAAAACCTAAATGATTTGTGAGGTTCTGGTTCTGGAATAATTGTTTTTTGAAAATTGGACAGGTTATCTGTCTCACATATGCTTCTTAATGTAAAA